TACTTTACCCCCCCCCCCCAGCCGGAAGTTTTTGGCTATAACTTTCTTATTTTACATTATTGTAGGCTCAAATTAAAACTCTTAGTATATTATTCGACGCTCTATCGAATGGCGTTGCAAAAATCCCGACAAAGTAAGCGAAAATACCGACAACTTTGAGACCCTTCGGCTGTGGGGGGGATAAAGTAAACTCTTACCGATTTAAATGCTATATTAGTTAAATTTTATTTAAAATAAGCTTACTAGGCACTTCCTCTTTCCTCGTCAAAATCGGCGATAATTCCTTGGTATACGTCGAGAATAAGGCATCATATAATCGCTGAGAATTGTTGAGAAACGCTTTGTACTCTAAACAATTTTTATTTTTATGAAATTTTAATTTACCTGGATTCTGTGAGCTTTGGGCCACTACGCTAGAAAGTACGGTAATAAACATATACAGTAGAGCGGCAATTCCCATAGAAAATCCAGGCTGACGCTGCAAAGAAAGGGATATTTTTGGGTTTTTTTAGGATTTTGAAGGAAAAGAAAAAGGGGATCTGTTTTAGAAAAATGGTCTCTGCTGGCTTGCCATCCAGAAAATGCAAAAAATACAAATACTGCTACAAAAATCCAGAAACAATAATACAAATACAAAAAAAAACAAATTATTATGGAAAAACTGTGGGTACCGCAACGATCTGCAAGTTTTTACCAATTTTCAAGCAAAAACTAAAGATTTTTAAGAGGTTTTGGGCGCGCCAAAAAGTATAGAAATGTCCCAATTGATTTCTGCATGCCTTACAAAAATAATCATAAAAACGGCGGCTCTTCGAAACATGAACGTTTTTGACCCGTTCCTTGTACAAACGTGTTTTTTGTTTTTCGAATTTTACACGTTTTTAAACTTTTTGAGAGTTTGCCAAATGCTCGCTGCTAGCCTGCCCTCTTCATAAATAAAATCGCATTCTCTAAAACGAGCCAGAACTCTGATTTTCTGGATTTCTAGGCAAGAATCTTTGGACTCGGGTCCGAAATTGTGCCTTTTTGTGAGGATTTCTGCCAGTTAAATACTCCGAAAATATTGATGGGGGCGTCAATCGGGAAATACAAATGTGTGGGTGTCCCCCTAAATGTACACATCAAAGATTCGCCACACAAATCATCGCAATTCTCAAATTTCAATCTCGAGTCATTTGGTGGGCCAATTTGGGTACGGTAGGTTACGGTCATGGGCAGGGACGTAGCGTAATACAGGCCCCGGGGGCCCGGGCCCCCCCGAAATCGGCCGGGGCCCGAAAATTTCATAAGGGGGGACCCTTATGATTTTGATTTTCTCAAAAATTTTGCTGCCTGCGGCGCTATTTTTTTCACTTTTTTACGGCTATTTGTAGAGCTATGCAACCTTTTTTTCAAAAATTTTTGCCTGCGGCGCTGTTTTTTTGGCTATGTTTTCAGTTTTTTGGAAAAAATTTTTGGGGGCCCCCCCCCCGAAATTTTTTTCTGGCTACGCCCCTGGTCATGGGTATGGATTTTAAAGGGATGGTGCCAGCTACGTTTTTCGCTAAATGAGAGTGGATTGCGCTAGCTGGATGTCAAAAAAATCGAACATCGTTTTAAAGGGATGGCGACAGCAGGATTTGCGCGAAAATGATTTTGGAATGCGATAGCTAAAGCAAAATCTGAATACTGGCCGCCGTGAAATCCATATTTTTGAATCAATTTTGATGGAAAAAGGAAACCCAGTGAATTGCTTGGAAATCTCTATCAGAGCGGGACGTTGTTGAAACACAGAAGCCTTGTTGTGCCTTGTTGTCAGTCAGCGCGTTTTACTCATTCCTAAGCCTTCTCCACCCGCCCGGATGCTATTCCATCTGGCAGCCAAGGTACAACCCGCCTTTTTGCTAATCGATTTTAGTTTTAGCTTTGCCTGTTTTAGCAGACATCTTTGAGACTAAATTGACTGTCTTGAGGCGTTGGATTGCTGTTTGCAGCCCAAGAAGTTTTTCGAAAACCTTCTTCGGGGTTCTAACCCGTTTTGGTTTGAGGTACCCCCCCCCCCCTATAAGACTCTTTTGGGGTCCTTTTCCGGAATTTCTGTACTGCACCGGCGTATCTTTTTATGGACACCCTAATTGCCATCATCTGACCTTCCAATTAGTATCCTATCCTATAAGCGAGAAAAGTATGTCCGTTTTCTGTGCAGCCGATTTCTCGGCCGTCAGGCCGAATTTCCGGCTGATTTTTGGCATGGAGGTGTAGAAACACATTTGCCAGAAACGCATTTTTTTGTTTTTCGAAATTCCTTTATTTAACGCTTTTACAAACAAAATGGTGAAAATCCTTAACAAAATGGGCTACGAGCCGTGGTGTCCGGGCCATAACTCGAAGCCCTGATGGAATTTCGGTCTGTAAGTTGGACCACTTATGCATTCGATAGTGGGGATCAGGCGCATCTTATTATTTTTACAAATTTTCATCGCATTCAGCCTAAAAAAGCGATTTTTGTAAAGTTACCAGGAAGCTTCTCTCCCGGGTTAACACCGCCCCCAGGACAGGCCTTTCCCGCCGCCCGTCCCGATGCCTCCTTTGGTATAGTGGCTTAACGCCCGGTCCACCACACTCATGGTCGAGGGTTCGGATCCTCGGCAAATTTTTCTTTTTGCTTTTTGATAGTTCAACAAGAAAACATATTTCGAGGCACTCAGTATCCGAAATTTAGGCCAGTCCCTCGCTCTAGCGCCGCAAGCGAACCAAAAGGTCCTTGGCCCCGGGCTCTAGCGCCGCAGGCCAAATTCTGAAGAAAAACCAGTAGCTAGCGCCGCAGGCCAGAGAATGGCTTCTAGAGTCAGGCTCTTGCGCCGCAGGCTTGAAAACTGAGGGGGAATTTATGGTTCCTAGACGGGGGCCAGTGGAAAAGGGCCGCGAAGCGGTCATTTTCCACTGGTACCTTCATAAATAAGCTCTCCGATAGCATCAGATGAGATGCCTTATTCTTCATTTTTCCACCTGATATTTTTATATAGAAAAATGTTGTTTTCGGGTTCCCACCTGACCTTCGATCAGTTGATTGATTCTGTTCAATCGTATTTAATTTTTGCACCGGTTTGAACTGCGTTATGACGGACCCTTCTCTCGACAGCAGCTCGTTGAAGCTATCTATAAACCAAAAATACGCCGGTAAGCTTTATTACGCAAAGAAGTTTGTGATCGATTGGTTTAAATCTTTATAAAGGGTTTTCATTCGTTTAAACGAGTCAGGTAAGGGCAAAAATTGTAGCGTGAAAGGGATTAGGGGTGCATAGGTCGAAATTTTGGCTCATTTTGGGAGGGGGCTTCACCGTCGCGCCATGTATCCGTACTGCCCCGGAAGATGTACGATTACAACGCCGTAATAATCTAAGCAACAATTGTAAACCTGAAATTGTAAGTTTAGATCGTTGAAAGAAGGGTAAGAAATTCAAACAGAAATTCAGATCTAATCGGCAGCCGGCACGGCCCCGAAAAAAAGCGAATGGAAGTCGGCGGGGTACTAACCGGAATAATAATCTTCAAGGTCTGTTGCTTTTTCTGGTCTGGGATACATACAGGGTGGCTAGAAAGTATTTGCCGCAGAGAAAGCTCCTTCAGAAATTCTCAGTGTCCGACTTCGTTGCCATTTTATAGCCAAAATGTAGCCAAAAGACCTTTCTTTACGACTATCAAAAAAGCTAACACCCTAGACCTCAGATTTTTAAGATACGGTCTTTTAAAGGTGCGTCCAAACCTGAGCCTGCGCCGCACCTATTTTGCCTTTAGTGTTGACCTTTGCGGTTTTTGCTTCCAACCAATCAGAATAGGAAGTTGGGTTTTTGTTCGTTGCAAGGCTCTTTATTGAACGTATCAACCAGAAAAATTCGTTTTAGCCGTATCGAAAAGTTTTTCGCGATTTTCTTGAGTGCCCAAAATGACCGGAACAAGAAATTTTTACAGCACAAAAACAAAATGCCTCAAATATCCACATTTTCATGCGACTAATACTTTTTCTTTTGTGGACGCAACAAAATCAACCGCCAGGATAAGAAAAGCTCATTGGATAGCAATAACTAAAGATACTGTGGCCATAAAAGAATAATAAGAAGCACTTTCTTGCCGTCGGTTTCGAACAATTTTCAAATGCTTTAGGCCGGCGTTTTCAATTATTTTGGCCTTATTCAAAGTGTCAGCGTGGTAGGCTCATGCATTAACTACATTTTAATAGTAAATTTCAGGCAAGCTCTCGAATTAACGATTTTTAGAATCCATTCTTTTGCGGCAAATGGTTGCCAGCCACAGATCTCGGCGCACCCCATTCGCCAAATTTTACTTTCACTTCCGTGATCCATCTAAGTCTCGAGGTGCCCCGAGCATAATTTTTTTAGATAGTTTGGATCATTGTTTCTACGAAACAGCACCGGAAAATAATAAGATATCCCCTAAGAAATTTTTCGAGGGCCTCAAAGGTGCCGAAAACCCATATAAAAAACACCGTTTTATGTATTTAACTCCAATTAAATTTATACGAGCAAGGAGTTGAATGTTTCTATATATCAATCGATAGAACAAAAAATTATCTACAGAATACACCCCCCAGATGCATCGGTCGCAGAAATTTTAGCAGGTTAAAACCGGAGCGAAGGTGCGGCAAATACTTTCTAGCCACCCTGTATGTGCTCTGGGGGTATTTGGGGGTGTGTCCATGAAAGAATATGACAGACGACTAATAATAAGGGGCGGGGACAGGGGAGGGAGATTGACGCCCCACGCACGCACCCAATCAGCCAAAGAGATATGCTGATTTTCGCGCAGTAGATTCGGAAAAGCTCGAAAAATGTAAAAGAAAAAAGAAAGAAAAAAAGGAAAAAAAAATGCTCATCAGACTTTCCAAAAGATTTTTAAATGTTGGTAATGTCTGTAAAATGAGTTTAATTTTTAGCGGTAGCAATTTATTCAAAAAAATTCTCGTTCCGGGTTAACACTGGAAAAGGAAAGGAGTTTATTCAGCACATTTCATCGAATTCTCGACAATATGACATATCTGGTAGAGGACCCTTCAAATAGTCGAAACAATTGATATCATCAAATGTCGGTCGATAGTTTGCCTGAAAATCAAATGTAGCATTCGGTATCTGGTATTCCAATTTTCGCTTCCATTCACCCACCGTCCAGATCCTCGTCTCCCAATTCTTCCATCCTGTTTCCGGTTCCATTGTCCGTTTATATGTCCATTCATTGATCTTCTCCGATGTCACTTTCATTGCCTCGTCTTTTGCGATGATGCCCAACTAAAATTTCGGTTTTTCTTACAGCCTCTGAATACTTTTAGTATTTGATTGCAGGCCTGGACGAACGGCGGGCCGGGCCGGGCCGGGCCGAGAAAATGAAAAAATGCCGGGCCGGGCCGGCCCGGGCCGGCCCGGGGGTTTTTCCATAGTCTAAAAATACCTTTTTTGGGGGGAAATTGGGACTTATTTTGCATATTTTCGCTCACGAATAGTCGTGTTGGCGTTATTATACAGCCTCAATAAAAATTTGGTCCTTTTCTTGACTAAGTCCCTACCAGGAAATCGGTCCAGGTTCGTCCCCGCCCGGCGTCTTTTTTGCTTTTTGGATTTCTATGTCAGCGCGGCCGGATTTTTTTCGTAGATGTATCAGCATGTATCGTAGTACTAAACTAAGACCCAAAATATATATTAGTATGGCGAATTTAAACTCGAAATGGCTTCATTTAACATTATTACCCTGATATCGGTCGATATTTAGCTCTTAAAAATTGTTATAACTTTGAAATTTAAATTTTATTAACAGAACTGCTGCAAAAATGGTCCACTAATACCGTATTAACAGCAAAATACCTTGCAATGGTGTTAAACCAGCTTGGCGGGAGTTTTTTGGCCAACCCCGTATTTGACCTTAAAAGTCGGGCCGGCCCGGGCCGAGAAAAATCGCTTCGGGCCGGGCCGGGCCGGGCCGGCGAAATCGCGGTCGCGGGCCGGGCCGGGCCGGCCCGGCCCGGCCCCCGTCCAGGCCTGTTTGATTGGCAATTACTCGGCATCTTCCAAAATAGTCGAAAATCTATTTGGACTGACTGACCTGCATTTGCTCGTATTTATCGATATTGTAGGGAGAACGCATGGAAATGTTGAAGCATCTGTGCAATTCCCTAGTATAGTGGAAGACAGATGATGTCCTACCGATTCGATTGATAAAGCAAGCTGAGAAATGTGTCGGGCTGAAATTGGGGCTTAATAATGACCATGAAAATATGTAGTCATTACCTTGTTGCAATGGAAGATAGAGAGATATCGTCTATAACTAAATTAGAATATCTATAAAAAGTATACAAAATTTATTGTTTATCGCGGACTAATAGATGCCGATCTACCGGCCAACTCGAAATCCCCAAATTGTAAAATTCGGGATCTCTGTCAAAATTCCATGACGACACATAGAATTAGCGGCGAGAGATGAGAGGCCAATGCAAAATCATGTATTCCAAATTTCCCGAACAGGCTAATAAAAAGAAGCTACGCGTCTATTGTCAAAATACACGTAAAGTATTTGCTTGGATATTTTCGAGGATATCTCTTGATGCTTACCTCCCATCTTCCGGTGTAATCAGCACAATTCGAACATTATATTTCTCCTCAAAATCCATCTGTCTATCACCGATAAATGGGAAATGCTGAATGGAATAATGCAATATAATTTGACCAATTCAGAATACCCAGGGGCCATCGTGGAGATGCAATCCCTTAGCCTCTGATGTTCCTTCATTCAAAAGTTTCTAAAATGAATTTTTATCTGGTTGTCTATCCTGTGTATTTACCTGTATATTTCGAATGACAAATGATGAACAGTTGATCCCATCCACTCTCAACCGATTACCTGTTGATCATATTAGAGAACGTATCATAAAAGATTCGCTTCAAAAATTACTCAAGGCAGTCCAATGAAACATAACATTCTGGATTAAACTTGCATATCAAAACTATTCTTAAAAATATCCCAACTCGATTGCCGCAAGAAATTTCTTGGCAACTGAATAGAAAAAGAAGACGATTACCCCACAACACTAGTTTTTTCCATACACCGGCCCATTCATAAACTGCCATCTATAAAAGAGTTTATATAAAAAGGGGGATATGTTTTACCTCGGATGGATATTCATTGTCATTGTCAAGTGAAAACCAGCAGTGGGTTTTCGACAATACTCCCTAAATTCTTTTAAGAATGCTATGTTTAAAAAATAACGTGAAAATAGAAAGGGTCCCTCGAAAATGCAAAAACCTTACGCGGAATATTGGAGAATGAAGGATATTCATCATCTGGCTGATATCACAGGATATGGCTGTGGGGAAGGAGATATACAGATATTGATCATCTTCCCGGCAATTCCCTAATATTGTTTGTTTTATTATACGAAGATAGAATACCTAATCCCTCAATGAAAGAACAATACACTTTCTGAAGATCCGTTTTTCCCTTCACAATTTGATACTTTGTCTCCCACTCTCCGTGTCTCATTCTAAAAGTTGTGCCCTTCTAATATGAATCACCACGTACCTAATGCGAAGTTCAAACCCATATTCCGATGGGAACTCAGCTGGCTGAAAATAGAACTAAAAATTTCCAAACGTCTTCTCACGATCATTTTCCTCTCGATCGCTCTCTTCACCCATTTCTCTCTTTCATCCACTGTCACTTCTTTTCCTTCTCTCGTTTTGTCGACCATTACCACAAGTTCAGCAGATACTTCGAGCTGAAACGTTCAATTATAATCGGTTCTCGGCTGGAGAATCGATAGGCGGTTCCATCGCAACCACTCCCCCTCTTTTCTACTCGAATTCTTCTCAAATTCTTCCAAATCTCGTCCTACTTGCTCAAGTGTTGGTTCCATCTGCCATCTGCCATCTACAGGCCGGAGTAACGTATTTTTGGAGTCTAGTTCCAACCAATACAATCTTGTACAGAATTCTGCATAAAATGGCTCCTAAAATATTAGCGTACTTTAACGTTTCGACAATAACACTAACATTTTTCAAGCCACTTGCTTCTTCTAATGCTTTTGCCGCAGCTGGCCTATCTTCTGGCACACGGCGGACACATCTAGGATCTTTGACTGAGATCAGTTAAACTAACAAACTTGTCTATGAGGTCAGCAACACAATCTCTGCAAGCTGCCCTTTCTAGTGGGGCACCCAGACAAATTCGGGCGAAAAGGATCGCCGTTTTGTTGATGTTGCCAAACACGGCTCTGAAACATAGCCCAGTGTGTCAACAAAACACGCCAAGCTGGTTTTTTTGGTGTGATAGATCTTGAAGGCCTAGAACTTGGCTAGTTCTCATCCAAATTTGAACACCCTCAGTCAAATCTTCGCTGAGTTATGAGGCAAATACGATGCCGAGTACCCGCGTGCCGGCACCTCATTTTCAGCAATTATCTCGGCCAGTCAGTCAATCAATAAAAGTCAGTCAATAAGAAAAGTGATAATACCATGTTGAAGGTAATTGTATAAGAAATTAAATATGTCAGTATGAACCTGTCTGTACTTCTAGTTTTTTAGAAAATTCGAAAAGGGTCGGTCAACGTACTTTCGGGCTACTCTGTAGATACCCTTCCGCACCTTTCTGTGCAACGGAAAATCACGTACCGTCTTTCGATACATTCCCAGAGAACAATACCGGCAGAATAGAGATCACTAGCATATGTATACTAAACAATTATAAGCCGGGGTATTGATATATAGATACTATTTGTTCCCCGTCAATCGTGTCGAATGTTTCCGGAGGCATATATCGCATCGTGCCACTAACAGTGTAACTAAACTTCTCTGAATATGGCGAAACTGCGCTTTAGGGAATCCCACCAAGAATTTTCCGTAATCTCCGATTTTGACAGACCGAAGTCGCATAGTTTGATTTCGCAGTTCTCTCCAAGTAGCATACTAAATTCAGCGCTTTAACATACTTTTTTGGATGAAAAGTACTTAGCTGGTTTGATATCTCGATGATAAATCCTTTCTTTTTCAAGATAGACCAAAGTGTCAAATATTTGGCATGCCCAATCGATCACAAGAGAAATGGAATAGCGTTGATCCTTGTCGTTAATAACTAGATAGAGTACGTCCGAAGTCAAAGTACTCTTACTCACATTTTCTCAAATCTCCCCGTGGGCAATATTCAGTCACAATATTGGAAGTTTGCCCTCCATCACTAGTGTAGAACTCGATATATCTCACAATATTTGGGTGGGACAGCTTTTGAAGGTTTTCGACTTCACGACGAAGATGGGTGGGATGTCGAACATACAGAAGCCGCTTGACGGCCACAGATCTGCAAAATACGGCTAAACTGCAAAGCCCCGCAGGAACAATTATTGTCACGGCACGGTAGTACCTACCGTCCATCCCTGGTTTCAAGGCATACAATGCCGAAACCTCCAGAACCCAGGACGTCATTAGCACCAATTGGGGATGTATTGAAATGGACGCGTGAGAGCGAGGGAGGCGACAGAAGATTAATAGTTGTAGAATCGTCACTGCCAGGAAAGCTTGTCATCGCTTTGTCCTAGCTGTCTAAACAACTACGTATTGATCACACGATGCAATCAAGGGCGTTGTAGCGGTTCAACATAAAGAAGAATACTATGTGTTTGGAGGAATAGACATTGGTGGGGGGGTGGGGTAGTCTATTAATCGATAGATTTGTGAAGAAATGGAACAACATTGGAAAACGATTAATTGGAATGCAAATGACCATCGAATTAAACTGAGATTACATTTTTAGCAAGTTAATTTTGGAGGGATTGGAAGTCGTGATGGGCGGAATCTTCATTCATTTCCGAATCCGGAATCATTGCCCACTACGGGGCCTCTTCTCTGGCTTATCTTTCTTTAGGTCGGCCTATTTTTTCGCCGCAAAGATAGCGCCACGCCATTCCAGGCTTTAACAGGCAGGCAGGGATAGCTTTTGGGCTACGGCAGGCTCCCTTGCACAAGGGGACAGCGCGCTCGCTACGTTTTTGTTCGAAAATGAACAAACTGTTTTGGACAAAACTGGATTTTTCACGAAATTTTAATAGAAAAATTAGAAACTCAATCCTACTATATATAAAAAAATAGTGTTTGTGTGTGTGTGTGTGTGTGTGCATTTGCATGCAACTTCCGTCCGTAGTTTCCAGTCGTATCTCAATAGGGGAGGAAGTTAAAGGTACGTATGATACGTCATTAGATGCGTAATGTTCATGACACGACTGCACGCATCTGAGATTTTTAAAAATCAGCTGTTTTCGATATTAAAATTAAGTTTTTGTGAAAATCTCGCCCGGCCTCTTTGTTAGGAATCAATTAGCATATACAGGAAGTTGGGGAAGCCTATATAATGGGAGAGAGGACGCGTTTTTCATTTATCTGCACAGGAATTCAGGTGTTTATGCAAAGTTACGAAGTATGGGGGTAAGACGGGGCCAGGGTTGAAAAGTCGCGAAGCGGCTTTTCAACCCTGGTTAGATTTAAATATTCTAGACGCCAAGGCGCAGATTTTGAGACCTAACTATCGAAAATCTATTCTGGTACTTTTTTGTGATGGTCTTTTGAGGTTCAGTTCAGGATTTTGTGCGGTTTTAAATAGCGCAGAAACCAAGCATTGTCGCTGAAATCGGAGCCTAGATTTGGTAAAATCAAGGTCGATTACCCCCCATTGCCCGAAATCGACGCTTAAAATGGCTCCAAGTGACTGTTTTGCGAAAATGTACGCCATTGGATCAACCGTCTCTTTTTGATCGGGTTAATTTTTCCAGATTCTTATTGTTTTAGCAGTTTTCAATGGCTGGAGCACAGTTTTTAAGCAAAACGCAAAAGCTTGGCAAAGGTTTTGGGGAGAAATAGCGGTTGCACGTTGGTCCCGGGGGTCGAACTCGGACCCTCTGTTCGAGATTTGGGATCGGCGCTAACCGATTGCGCCGCGGTTCGGGGGGTCCTATCCGTGCCTCCGTGGAATGCCGTGGCGCGGCTCGATGAGGTGGGATCGATAACCTGAATCAGGAGCATCTATAAAAAAAATTGCGGAAGGATAGCAATATTATAGGGCTTTTTTCTTGATGCTGCCCTCGCAATGTTTTATAACTTACATTCGTCGGCCAAAAATACCACTCAATTTGAATAAAATATTCGAAAAATGCGGCAACTCAGGCATGGTAACCAGGAGCCGAAATGTCACTCTAAAATGTGCGCCTCCCTTCGATTCCTTGCTCTCTTCCTAGCCGTTTTTGCATTGACAGTAGTCGACGCTTTACCGTGAACGAACATCTATTTTATTAATGTTGCTTTAGATACGATTTAATGTCCGGTCAAGTCGACAGGGCCAGAAGAGCCGTTCCTAAACATCCCGAGGTCCGTTTTATTCTGGGATCCAAGCAAGCCGGCACAGAAACCCTTTAGGAGCTTTCGAGGCCCCAATGTGCTTGCAAAATCTATATTTTTTTAATTCCCATTTTTTCAGGACGGCCAAGACTGCAAACACGAATTTGAATGCGAGCTAGGATTCTGGTTTCTGTTCTATTTCGCGTGGGGGAAAAAACTGTGCGGGGGGGGGGAATTTGCTTCGTTTTTTTATAAATCTTTTATATGATGCTATTTTGAATTGTAATTAAAACTCTTAGTATATTTTTTGACGCTCTATCGAATGGCATGAAAGTAATTTTCAAAAAATATCGAAAATCTCGAAAACTAGCCTTCGACTCCACGGTCCCATGTGGAAACACCGAATAAACCTTGTTTTTGCTATAACTATGTTATAAACCAATATTTTTAGATGAAATTAAATCTCTGAGTACATTTTTTTGATGCTCTATCGAATGACGGGTTCAAAATGGCGGAAAGTTCAAAACGAAAAACTGGCGAAAATGCCGAAAACTAACATTCCGGAACCAATTTCAATAGTTTTTTTTTGTTTTTGCTATAATTTTTTATATTACAATACTTTTAGCTAAAACAAAAACTCTTAGTATATTTTTTGATGCTCTATCGAATGGCGTTGCAAAAATCCCGAGAAAATAGCGAAAAGATGTAAGGTTCCGCGAAGCATATTCCCCCCCGCACAGTTTTTTCCCCCACGCGAAATAGAACAGAACCGGATTCTGTTGTGGAAATAAGAGATCGGGAAAGGATGGGAAATGCCTATGGATTATACTACAAAATGTACACTTCTATTTTGTTTCTTACCAGGGTTGAAAAGCCGCTTCGCGACTTTTCAACCCTGGCCCCCGTCTGATCCGAGGATATTCTTCACGATTTTCGATGACAAAGAATGAGAAACGCTACCTCTGTTCCCTTATATAGGCTAGCGCAACTTCCGGCGTATGCTAATTGTTTCCTAACAAAGAGGGTGGCCCATTTTTCAACAAAAACTTAATTTCAACGTCGAAAACAGCTCATTTTTGAAAACTTTATTGGTGTGCAGTCATTCCCAGGCCATTACGCACCTAATCCGTATCAAACATGCCCTTAACTACTCCGCTTATTGAGATACTACTGGAACACGCTGACGGAAGTTGCATGCAAATGCACACACATACACACACATAGACACTATTTTTTTATATAGTAGGATAGTAGGATCACCCTAAAAAAATTGTATTTAGGGTGGTCGTCATAACTGTCGCGATATTGTCAATGATAGCGTGTAAAAACGCACCCAATAAATGCATAAATATTTATTCAAAGAACTATTAAAATGCCATGGAATCGATATTGTTTAACCGGCATTAAAATCATACAAAATAGATCGATCTATATTATCCAGTCGCCTCCACTTTAGCCACATTCTCCTGGATAAAGGCTTTTCCGCACCGTTTCTCCAATTCGGCCATGGAAAGTGGCTGGATTGACTTCCTGGCTGGCTTACTGCTGAAAAACGCGAAAAAGAGTTTCACAAAAAAAGATGAATTTCAGGATTGGCTTTTTGGTCATTCTTGACAAAAGTAATATAGTCTATCCCGCTTTCTAGCCTCTACCAAAAGGATCACTGAGGTCTAGAGTAAGGAGTTGCCACACTACAGGGTGTCCCAAAAAAAACCCCCCCCCCTCTAGAGGCCGTCAATCGGATCGGATCGGAATGATTTTTATACCAATCGAAAGCTCTCGGAAAGGCGAGAAAACAAGCGGGTTTCGTTTTCTAAGATTTAATCTGATTCTATCGATATTTCAGGTTTTCCTAAAAAGCCGAGAATTTTTTATCAGGAATTTCGCAATTAGCATGCAGATCTCGCATAAATCAGCAGTTTTCATGGTTTTTGGACATAAAATTAGCAAATAAAAAGGCTTAATTAAGAAATTCAACCCTCCTTGTTTTCTCGCCTTTTCGAGAGCTTTCGATAGATACCTAAATCGTAAAAATCGGAATCGACTGCGGACCGCTAGGTAGGGGGGTTTTTTTTTGGGACACCCTGTATATACTTCTGCCTTTGCCCCTTGGGCCCATTCAGACTCTCCCGAACCTAGTATCCTCGACATAGGCCAAGAAAGATTCACGAACCCAAGAAGCCACAACAAGTAGATGAAGCTTGGATTGTTCAGTGGTAGAAATCTTGTAGAGTCCCAAATGCATTTCGGTACAATTGTCTAGAGACAAAAGGTTTATCGACAATGAACAAAACTGAGATACAATTGTACTCATCGCTTGGTCACAAGGTTCTCGTTCAAAACATATTGCAAAAAGCAATTCAAAGGGTTTTGGCTCAACTGACGATATTGGGCAGCATGGAGGCTTGCTCCCATAAAAGAACTGAGCCGCAAGGGGCAAGTCCTAAAAGGAAAACTGACCCAAAAGGGGCAATTGCCCAATAATCGCAGAGCGCGGCTCTCCGGGGGGCGCCGGGGACTACGGTATCACAGGCAAGGGGCGCGGGATAGGAAACTCCCTTCGAACCTCTGCAATAAGCGGAAAGGTTTCGACAATTCTAGTGGTTTTTGTCCAATGTTCGACCAAAAATCGGAATAATAAAGTTTCTATAAATTTTTCTAGGCATTTTTAAGTATACTGGCATACGGAAGACAACGTCTTATGAAAACGTTAAATGAAAACGTGTCCATCAAATCTTTTTGCTTTTTTTGTGTATTGTGCTACGCAGACAGGCCCGTAGGAGGGGCGGGGGGCCCAGGGGCCCTGGCCCGCCCCTCCCCCGAAATCGGTCGGGGTCTGAAAAGTTCATAAGGGGGGACCCTTATGATTTTTTTCATAAAAATTTTTCTGCCTGCGGCGCTGTTTTATTACTATTTTTAAAACAGTTTTGACTTATATCAAGTCCATTTTTCAAAATTTTTCACCTGCGGCGCTGGGTTTTCGAAAAAATTTCGCCTGCGGCACGTTTTAGGTTTGTTTTTTGACACGAATTTGAGTGTAGCGAACC